TTCCCCGCAGTGGAAACGCAGACATCTATGGGGGAAGGGTTCATCTACTCCCACCCCCAACACTTTGTTTCTTCACTTGTAATTTGCATAATAGTGTAGAACAAACTTCTGCCATTCTTTCTTTCTTTGCTAAAGGTTTCCATTTTTTTCCGGACCTTTAAATTTTTTTAAGCTTATTTATTTATTTGGAGAGAGGGGCAGACAGAATCTCCGCACTGTCATCGCAGAGCCCAATGCAGGACTCGAAATCACGAACCATGAGATCGTGACTTGAGCAAAAACCAAGAGTCAGACACTTAACCAACTGAGCCACCCAAGGTGCCCCAGATCTTCCCTTTTTTTTATATATTAAATATAGTTTAGTGTCAAATTGGTTTCCATACAACACCTAGTACTCATCCCAACAGGTGCCCTCCTCAATGCCCATCACCCACTTTCCCCTCTCCCCCAACCCCCATCAACCCTTCAGTTTGTTCTCAGAATTTAAGACCATGGGGGAGGGGAAGGGAGAAAAAAAGTTACCTTCTTATTTTTTAAGAGCATAGGTTCTGTAAGACATGGAAATAACCTAAGTCCATCAATGGATGAATGGATAAAGAAAGTGTGTGTATACACGCATTATATAAAGTACATATACACAATAAAATATCATTAAGCCACTAAAAAGAAGGCAATCTTGCCATTAGCAAGAACACAGTTGGACCCTGAGAGTATTATGCTAAGTGAAAGAAGTCAGAGACAGAAAAACAAACACTATGTGATCTCACTTGTATGAGGAATCTAAAAACCTTGAACCCATAGATATAGAGAACAGATTGCTGGGTGTCAGAGGCTGGGGGTTACAGGTGGGAGAAATAGGTAAAGGCGGTTAAAAGGGAAAAACTCCTAATTATAAGATGAATAAGATCTGGGAATATAACGTACAGCATGGTGGGTATAATTAACAAGACTGTACTGCATATTTGAAACTTTTGAAGACAGAAGGGCACCTGGGTGACTCAGCTGGTTAAATGTCCAACTCTTGATTTCAGCTGAAGTCATGATCTCACAGTTTGTGGGGTGGAGCCCCACGTCAGGATTTTAGCTGACAGCGTGGAGCCTGCTTGGGATTCTCTCTCTCTCCCCCCTCCTCTTTTGTGCCTGCAGACTCTCTTTCTCTCTCTCTCTCTCAAAATAAATAAATAAACTTTTAAAAAAGATATAGAACATTTAAAAACAAGAAAGTTGTGAAGAGAGGAGATCTTAAAAGTTCTCATCACAAGAAAAAATATTTTGTAACTATGTGAGGTGATGGATGTTGAGTAAACTTCTTGTTGTAATCATTCTTTAATATACGTCAAATAATATGTCAAATCATTATGTCGTACACCTAAAATGAATACAATGTGATATATCAGTTATAGCTCAATAAAGCTGGGGAAAATGTATCAGAAAAGAAAATAAGAGAATAGACTTTGGAGGAGACGCAAAGGGAGTGGAAGAACCAGTTCTGCCACCTAGTAACATGTGACTCCGGGTAAATTATGTTACTTCACTGAGCCTCAGTTTCCTCATCTGTAATATGGGGATGACAACAATGCCCACCTACACTGGAATCATAATAATGAACATGCTTGACACAAACTCACTATTCAAGACCAACATACCCACACACATCCGTATGAAGTAGACACTGCTATTCTCCCATTTGACAGAGGAGGAAAAGGAAACACAGAGGGATTTTAAAACCTCCTCAGGGTCACCCAGGTGCTAAGTGAGAGAGGTGCAGTGATGTCAGGATGAAATGTGCTTATTACAGTGTGTGACAGATAGTACACGTTCACATTCAATAATGTGTAGCTATTTATATAATCAGTTTAAAACATTCATGACTCTGTCTGCAGTGTGTTCTGTAAATGTCAGTGGGAAGATGTGTCTTTCTGGAAAAATGAGTACTGCTCCATCGTTCCAAAGGTTTCCCCTCTTTACCTTGCCCATTTCTCAGTAGCTGAATTGTGATTTTATCATGATAGCCTAGGAGCCAAACTGAGAGGATGAGTTCCATCTTGGCATTGTCTATATTCTCTCTCTTAAAGCCTGGGCCTTTGGAAACACAATCATATTTATTTTAATAAAACTGCTTTATGACTTGCTTGCCCTCTAAATTCCCTTTGCTCTTTGGGGAAGGCTGCTGACAGGCGATGGGGCTTTGTTTTAGTCCCTGTGCTGGGACTGTAATTAACTGCCACAGAGAGGGAAAGTGGGGGCAGCCAGCAGAGAGAAGGATAAGGGCAGTGCTTTTCTCCATGAGGCTGGCTTCCAGGCTCTTGTCAGAGGAAGGGGAGGTTACATTTGATCTGCTGGCTTAGATACCAGTGCCAGGCCCTGAATAAACAGGTAGCCTTGTCCACGCTCAAGACTTCCCCCTTTTAAAAGACTTGAATGTGTGCAAAATTGGCAGTGGTAGGGTCTGCAGGACCTCTGCCTTTTGAAACCTCAGGAGTCTGCTCTCCGTAAATCAGTGTCAGTTTATGGCTACCGGTCTCCAGATGGACAGGCTTCTCCCATGAATGGAGTTTGTCATCCTGTCATTACTACAATTAAAGGAGTCGGCCTCCCTTGAAACGTTATGCTGCCCCAGGGAAAGTTAAAACTGGTGAAATGTTCATAGACTGTCAGACCTGGAAGGAATCTTATAGAGTGGTATGTTTGCCAACAAGAAGGCAGAGAGCCACCTCCACGGGGACTGCCTGGACGGTCTGCTAGAGGTATAAGTCCTGGCCCTCACCACGCCTGCTTTATCAGAATCTTTGCGCTGTGGGCCCAGAGATCTCAATTTTTAATGAGTTCCCCCAGGTTATTCTAATGCACAGTGATGCTTGAGAGACAAAGATATGCAGAAACACATTCAGTCATCTGAATTACGGGTCAAGGTATTGAGACACTTAAATTTGTCCCTGAGGAGAGATAAACACAAGGCCTTGGTCTACTGACTCTCAAATGAGTGTTTCTGTTTTGTTTTATTCTCTTTGTTTTTATGATATCACGTCCCTTTTAGCTTCATGGAAAAAAGCTTCCTTCACAAATTTTACAATGGGGTCTGGTTATCCAAGGTTAAGCCTTAGCAGAGACAGGAGGCAAGGGGCTTTGGCAGATCCAAGCTTTATTATTGCTGAAACCAGGAGAATACATATTTGGGAAAATAAATAATTTTAAAAATTGTTTAAGCTTATTTATTTTGAGAGAGAGAGAGAGAGCAAGAGCAGGAGAGGGGCAGACAGAGAGGCAGGGAGAGAGAATCCCAAGCAGGCTCCACACTGTGGACACAGAGCCCGATGTAAGGCTCGAACCCATGACCTGGTGGAAGTCAAGAGTTGGATGCTTAACTGACTGAGCCACCCAGGTGGCCCAATAATTAATTTTTTTAATGTTTATTCATTATTCTTGAGACAGGGACAGAGTGTGAGCAGGGGAGGGACAAGAGAGAGGAAGACACAGAATTTGAAGCAGGCTCCAGGCTCCGAGTTGTCAACACAGAGCCAACCACAGGGCTCTAACTCACAAACCGTGAGATGATGACCTGAGCTGAAGGTAGACACTCAACCAACTGAGCCACCCAGGCACTCCAATAATTAAAATTTAATAGCAATGTCAAGGAAGAAGATATAGATAAAAAAGAATAAGGATATTGATTTTTGATCTATAGCTAGATCAGGAACATCTATTTGTGTTACTATAGAAAGAGTTATCTATAGGGCAACTTTATGCTGGCAGTTGCCTGGTTTGGAGGGAGCAAAATGTCTCCTGTATGTCGGATGTTTGAAAATACTTTCCTGTCTGTCACCCTATTTGATATCTGCACCACTCTGGAGAGATAAGTGTTAGCATATCCAGCTAAGAGATGAGATTCAGAGGAGTGAAGAGACTTTCCTAAATTGAGTTAGCAACTGACTCAGGTACAGAGGTATTAGAAAGAATATTACTATGAATAATTTTTTAGGAGTATACCAGGTGCCTGGCATCTCTCTGAGCGTGTGATACGAATTTTCTCATCCAATCATCATAACCGCTTTACATACTTGCCTAATTGGAGCCTCATCAGAGCTCTTGAGATAGTAGGATGTTGGTGACGAAGCTAAGGTATAAGGAATGAATCACCCTTCATTCGTTCCTCTGCTCAGTCGACAAACCCAGGCTAAGCTTTTCAGTTCTAGACACTTATTTAGGTTCTGGGGATAGAGGTCAGGTAGGACTCTGCTTTCTTGGAGATTACACTGGACAGCAGAAATAAGCACTAAACAAGTAAATAGATAAATACAGAAATCACTATTAAATGAATCAAAATAGGCTATGGAAGTAACTGGGCATGAGAAGTGTACTATCTCAGAGACTGTGACAGATGGTAGGTACCAGAGCTGACATAGGAAAGAGGTACACAGCTGCCTGGGGGCAAAGGGGCAAAGGCCCTAAATGTGATCAGTGGATATTTTGATCCAGCAAAGAGGATAGAACAGAGTCATCTGGGTAAAGTACTGTGAGATTGCTCATCGAGGGGCGGAAGAGATATCCTGTAGTGGTAGGGAAAACCCTTTGGCTTTGAGAAAGGTAAGAAGCCGCTGAAGGGTTTGAGAAGAGGAGTGACCAGATACGATCTATTTTAGAAAGGCTGTCCTGTGCCATACTGGGAAGAACCCATAGAGGGCAGGACGGAGCTCGCCCAGGATAGGACAACTAAGAAGTGGTGGGAGGGAGTGGGGGTGGATGTCGTCTCAATGATTATACCTGGTTTCCTGAACCAGGCTTCCTGAGGAGGCAGAGATCAGTCTCATGAGCATGTTATTTTCACCTTCTGTGAATCCTGTGCTCGAGTCCTGCCACACACACACACAAGAGAATCTCCATAAATACAGGGGTCGTTGCTCTTCTCAGAAAAAGGCAGAGAGGAGCCACTGGGGTGGGCCAGCAGGCAGAGCTGGGCCAGAGCCGCTCTCCAGGCTGTGGCCCCAAGGGGCCTCACTCACCTTGGACTTCTCCTGATGCAGCTCTATCTGGATGTCGGTGAGCTTGGTTCTGAGGTCTTCATTGGCAGCTTGAAGGGCGACGATGAGCGCTTCGGGCTTCTCGCCCTTATTTCGCCCTTTCTTGGACATTGTTCCTTTCTAAAGGGAGTCTGCTGCTTTTTAATTCCTTTCAAACAGGTGCTGCCATGTTACTGCTTCTTCTCCTGGGGGCGATGTTTCAGCATCTACTGCGTGGTGCTCCTTGGTAAGGTCTCCTCAGCCGCTGCCCTGGAAGCCCTGATTAGAGGCAGAGACAGCGGTTACTGCTGTGGCAGAGACCTGGGAGAGGTGCGAGGTGGTGTCTCTCAGCCTGAGCAACATGTAGGAGCCTCCTCCTGAGGCATCCTGTCCCCAGATCCTCCCATCCACCTTGCACATAAATTTAGAGCGATCTTTCCAAAGATCTGGTCTGGTCATGTCAATGCCCTGCTCAAAATCCTCCAAAGACCTATGACTATTTGAGTGTATCTTTCCTATCTTGGAGTGCTCTTTAGGTCTTTCAGCTCAGGTTCTCTTTCCCTCTCTCTCTGCCTCTACCCTGCTAGCACTCACTCATGCCACACACACACTCCCTCTCCCTCAAATAAAATGTAAAAAAAAAAAAAAAAAAAAAAAAAAATAAGCACTAGTTCTTTCAGAAGTATAGACAAGGACTTCTCCCTCCCGTGGGGTGAGTAAGGAGTTTCCTTGAAGAAGGTGGCACTGGCCTGGAATTTGAGGAGTAGGATGTTAATGGATTTGGAAACAGGTGAAGCATCCTGAGCAAAAGAAATGGCAGGTGCTGATATACAACAAAAACAAACAAACAAACAACTACAGTAACTATTTTGTGGGGAAAAAATGGGGGCCTGATCCATTAGGCAGAGTATGGTTGATGGGCACTAATACTGGACAGGGTGCCTGGAAATGACAGATTGTGGGATATCTGGAACATCAACCTTAAAATTTTGGAATCTTACATTTTTAGTAAGCAATGGAAGCCATTGAAGTTCGTGGCAGGTGGATACCCTAACAGGGAAATGCTTTGGTGTAGTCATTCTGAGGGCAAAGTGGGGAGAAAATGCAGGTAGGGAGACTAGATAGAAGGCTACCGAACTTTCCAAGGTGAAGGACGATGAAGTCCTAAACAGACCAGTAGCAAGAAGAGAGTGAAAAAGAGGGATGTGTCTTGATCTACAAATTCTTAAATGCTTCGCAGGAACGGGATCAGAAAAATATGGGTATGAAACTGTTAAAGTCAGTGGGAAAAACATGGCAAGATACTAGAGAAAGTTTGTCGCAAAACCTTTTTGAAAATTGGGTATTGTGTACACGGAGGTGCTTCAGTCCACAACTATGGGGAATTCCTACTGGTCACCCATATGTTCTGGCAGCTGCTGCTCTCTCAAGGCCCATGGTATACAGCCTGGAGGATCATGCTGGGATCCTGGGCTTCCTGCCATTTCTACGTGAGCACTGGGGCCCTGCCCTTTGCAGTGTGACCCTAGGGAAAGGGCTAGGGAGAGATTAGGAGGTAAGGAGGACCAGTCTGTCTCCAGAAGTCATGGAACTATCCACCATTTTCCACCCTAATCTGGATGCTGGCGTTGTTCTTCATGCTTATTTTGCAAATGTTGCCAAAGTATTTAAGTGTACAGGTGGGAGATGTCTAAGAGGCCACCATTCTTTGCTTTTAGAGTTGAAATGAATTTAACAAGCTTTTATTGGATTTTTATGACAAACACTGCTAGGCACAAAGCTAAATGAGACAGTATTTAACTTCAAGAAGGTGCTAGGTGAGTAAACTCACACATGTATGTTAACAGGTTTCTCTTCCTCTAGCTGATCTCTAAATATTGCTGGTCCCCAGGGTTCCCCAAAGTTATCTCCTCTGGTCCCACCTATAGAGTAATGACTCCCCATTTTATATCCATAGCCCTGACCATTCCCCAAATCCTGACTCACATATTCAACATCTTACTTACCAATTCTACTGGCATATTTGACTGGCCTATCAAACCTAACCTAAAACATGGATGTCTTTATTACTAGTCCCTCACAGCCTTATTCCCTCCAGGCTTCTCATGTCAATAAATGCACCACGACAGGCCCAGTTGTTCAGATCTAAGCTTAGAAGCCATCCTTTTTTCTTGTATCCATCATTTCTTTTCTCTAGTCCACCGATGGTCCTGTTTGTGTTTCCTATAAAATATGACTCCCTTTGGTCAACTTCTCTCAAACCCCTATGGTGCTGCCAGAACACAAAAAAAGGAGGAATTTGAGGAAAGCTTCATAGTCACTTCATAGCCTCATGGTCTTCCTGGATGAAATAAGGCTTTCCTTTTCTTCTTTTTAATATTTATTTATTTTTGAGAGAGAGAGAGAGAGAGAGAGTGTGCATGCATACGAGTGGGGGAGGGGCGGGGGGGTGGAGAGAGGATCTGAAGCGGGCTCTGTACTCCCAAACTGCGCTCAAACTCATAAACTGCAAGATCATGACCTGAGCTGAAGTTGGATGGTTAACCAACACCAGAGATACAGAAATGGCAGAGAAAGAGCTTGAGAAGTACTTGGAGTCACAAATTTGCCAGATGTATTTAGAGAAGGTTGTGACCTGGGAGAAGACAAACGGGGGATAGATCACACACGTTCCTGCATGATCAGTGGTTAGATATCATTGCCAATGATTGGATTTCATTATGTAGAAATGAAACAGTTGAATAGAAGTGTAATAATAAAAGCTTATACTGACTGACTGCTATGAGCTCGACATTGGACTAAGCACTTAACATACTGCTTTCATTTCATCCTCACTAAAATTAGGGGGAAATGATTCACAGAAAGATTAAGTAACTTGCCTAAAATGCCTGAGTTCATAGCTGATGGGGACTTCATGCAAGACTGGGACCCAGGCTTTGATGTCCTGGGCTGCCCTGCCTCATTTTAGAGGCATTTTAGAGAGGTAGCTCATTTTGCATTTTAGAGAGGTAGCTCGGGAAGTGTGAGGGAAGGTGAGTTCCTAGGAAGAGAGAGACTAGAGGCAGGAAATTAAGTTGCTTCACTGCTTCACTGGTCGGGGCAGACGTAATACAGCCCTGAACCTACCCATGGCCACGGGGATGAAAAATGATGTGGCAACTCTGACACATGGAGACTTTGATGGATTCATGTCTTGCTTTTAAACTTTATTAGTGGTTTGAACATTCTTCTCTGCCATTGTAAATAACGAGTACCAGCGTTGTGGTATTGCTCGCAACAATAATGTGCAATGCCATGGTCACAGTTTACATTTTAATTTATAATCCTTTCTCCCAAATATAATATTATGTGCTTGACTTCATGATTTTGTTGTCTGACAATTATTTTGAGTTTAGTCCCATAAAGGCTAGGGAAAAGAAAAGGGTTACAATATTTGAAACATGCTCAGGACAGAAAAAAGCATCACAGAAAGTTAGCAATAGAATCAACTTATGGATAAGTTGATCCTTTATTCATAAGGATGGTCCCGTACATCCCGTACATCCACCTAGTGAAGGGGAACTTTCTGGAGTCTTTTCCAGTTGTGACGAGGATCTGGCAATCTCATGATTCTCGAGTATAATTTTACTACAATGCTTCTGTCACTTTGTGCTGCATTTCCCCCCTTTTGGACAGCTTTACTGAGATACAATTCACATAAACAATGTACACTTTTAAAGTGTATTACTTCAGTGGTTTTAGCATATTTGCAATATTGTGCAATCATCGCCGCAATGAATTTCAGAGTTTTTTATCACACCCAAAAGAAACCCTATACCCGTAAGCAGTCATCGCTTATTCCTCACCAAACTCTCCCAGCCCTAGGCGATCACTAATCTATTTTTTTCTCTTTATGGATTTGCCTATTCTGAACATTTTGGAAATTATTTCTTTTATCTTTTTTATGTAGACTTCACACACAGCACAGAGCCCAATGTGAGGTGTGAACTCACAAACCCTGAGATCAAGACCTGAGCTGAGATCAAGAGTTGTACGCTTAACCAACTGAGCCACCCAGATGCCCCTATTCTGAACATTGTGTATTAAACAGAATTATATGATATGTGCCTAGCTTCTTCCACTATAGCATAATATTTTCAAGGTTCACTCACATGGTAACATGTGCAGATATTTCATTTCTTTTCATTGCTGAGTAATATTCCCCCATATGGCTAAAACTGCATTTCATTTACCCAGTCATCAGTTGATGGACACTCGTACTGCCTTTGCTTAAGTGGCCTGAGGACAGCCCTCCAGAGAAGCTGTCAGCCTTGTAAAGGGATGCCATCCCTGAAAGAAGTGTGCTGGAGAGCATAAAGGAATGCTTTAAGGTGTCACTGCATGCAGATGGAATGTTTCTGGACCACCCTAGGAGTCTTTGTCAATGACAGTGTCCAACACAGCAGATGACCTGGAGGAGGAATGGAAGCCTTATTCAATTAAGCCCCAATCCTCTTAAAGATATCAGATAATTAAGAGATAACCTCTGAGGAATCCTTGTATTTTAAAACAAGGATCGTTGTTTAAGAATAATCAAACGTTGTTTGAGAAGAGAATATAAAGTATTATGGCATTGGAGTGTTGGACGATTATACAGAAAAAAATGTAAGTGATAGTCTCACATAGTTCATGACACATGAGAGTTGCCACTTACTGAGTGCTTTCTATTTCTACTATTGGCTAAGGTTGTATAAACAAAATAGTTTGTTAAGCGCTGTCCTCAAGAAGCTTAAGTTGAGTAAGAATGATGGAAGACGTGGAAAAAATAGTAATTCAAATGTCACACTTACGGAAAGACTCTAATACGAAAAAAAGCTGTTCTTATTCTTGGTTCTAAACAATCTCATTTAGGCACTGGCACAAAACCCAAGAGAGAGAAAGCAAGGAGAGAAGGGAGTGACATGAACATGAGCAGAGGAGGCCTTTTTGCTTCCTCACCCTGGTTTCTCCTTGCACACCCCTTCTGGAGACTGTAAATAGGATGCTGCTTTTGGAATTATCTTGAGATCATCTACTTTCAGGTGTAGCCCTTTTATGTCTTTTACTGTTTAAGGAACATCAAGCAGTTATTTTTAGAACAAAATGTCCAGGTTTAAAAATTCTCATTCAGCATTATTCTCTTTTAAAGACATCCACACTTTAAGATTTTAAAAAATCAAGAAATTTAAAAAGGAACCCCCATGCACTATTTGTGGGAATGCAAACTGGTGTAGCCACTGTGGAAAACAGTATGGAGGTTC